GTTACGAAGTTTTCAATAGTGATGTTTAGCAATTTTGTTAGGATCATTCAGCCAGGCTAGAGTCGCTGAAATAAAGTGTTAGGGTTTAGTCAGATTCCCTAATTAGCTAGGATAGCGAGTAATTATATTTTTGAATTGTTTGGTTAGGATGTGGTCATGGTCTGTCCTTTTAGATAGGTTTTTGGCAGACTAAAGCCATAGCCTCCTCGGTGGTTACTTGTTGGTAAGATGATAGCTTCCGAGCAGTGTGTGGCTAGTCTATAGTAAAGGCTGATCACTGATGTAAGTTGCCTATCATAGATAGAGCACCAGCTAGGGATATTCACCCCTTCAGCTGTGAGGAAGAGGGATGTAGTTCTACACAGAAAAAAAGGATTTCTACTAATAAGAAAGAGCAATTTCTCACAATATTTGCTAATTCTGAAAAAATATTTATTAAAAGTAATAAAATATTGTCATCACAAAAATACTGCTTATCTTTTTCTAATACAATTTTACTCTTAACTTTATTCTAACTTTGAGACAAATACGTTCCCTTCAAAATTTTATTTCATCTCTAATCAATTCATTGGACATTACTTACATCAAGAAATTTTTACCTCTTACATCAAATTTAAATATTCTTAAATGAATTCAAAATTTCTTGGGTGTATTTTAAGAAAATATATTCTTAAACAAAAAAAGAAGAAGTTTTCTATTAAGATTAATATTCTAAATTCTAGAGTATATTCTTAAAGCACTATTTCGTTGCGTTTTCATAGTCAATGTTGTCGTGACATGTTGCCGAAGGCGCACGCGGTAAAGATTACTTTTACTTGTGCTTGTAATTATAAAAATCATAAACAGTCATTTATCCAAAGAAACAATACATAGTATCTCTAGTTTGTTAGGGTGTTATTTATAGTCATGAGTTAAGAAATTTGGTGGATGAAATCAAACTACACTTGTAACAAGCACAACTTTAACATGCAATTAGTTCCGTGACGCCACTGCTAGATGGCATTAGTTGTACTCTGAAACGCGCTATCGTTTTGTTAACTTCAATAGTATAAAGTCATCTCATATATTTGGAATTGTTAGTGCTATCTGCCGACGTAGCATTTGTACGGCACTGAATGGTCCTCAAGTATTTGAGAAGATTCCGTCCTATTTCTGCTACTTTAAGGTTTGACACTGAACTGTGTGCTTTCACGCTAGTGAGACATACTGTTGGGTCCATAACCCTGTAAATTTACCCTTTTTGAAATTAGAAAACACAAATCGAAGTCAAATAATTAAGTACCTCTCAATTTTTCATTCTATTTTTTTTCAAATCGAAATTGGACATTTCTAATAACAAATAAATATTTTGTTGAATCTAGAGTGGCTTTGTGACTTGATGTAAATTAATTTGCTCTTGGATTAAATATTTCTGTCTCATAACTAAAATATACTTTTGAGACGTTTTTTTACTATTATCAAGTAATTATTCTCTAGCGTCTATAGGGAGAGGATCGTTTTGTTGGATTTAATAAATTTGTCTTCATAAAAAGAATTTTGTCTTTTTCTAAGTAATCTGTTTTTACCGTGTAGGCTCTACTCTATGAGTAGAATCACTGACTGAATGAATAGTTTTGTTATTAGAATGTGTGTTGAAAAATGAAGTAAGGAAAAGAATAGAGCATCTTGATAGATCGAAATATAGCCCAACACTACAAGCATGTAAAAAAGTGCAATAAAGTAAATTTTGAAGATTATTCCAGTTTATATTCATAAAAGTACCTCTCGCTACGCAATCCGAGCTACGTCCCAGTTACAGTAGGTAGGTTGTTTTCCTATGCCATCTTTGGTTCCTAGCAACATTTCGTTTTTTTTATTTTTTTATTTATTTATTGAGGTTCACCAGCAATTGTTACATCGATACATGTACATTTTACAATGGTAAGGGTGTTTAGCTATTGGAACTGTGTATAGCTAAACCGTGCATTTCGTATCCAGAAAAAATGTGTTAGAGCTATATGTAGAATAGGCCCGCTTGAATCTTGTCGACCGCTTTTTAACCGACTTCAAAACAGGAGGAGGTTCTCAATTCGTCTGTAGGTTTTTTTTGTATGTATGTTACGCGATAACTCCGCCATCTGTGAACCAATTTTGACGATTCTTTTGGAAAGAAGGTACCTCAGATGTCTCGTTTAAATTTCAAGAAAATATTCCACCTCTAAGGGTGGCAAACTAGGCGATGAATGACTTTTGGGGTCGGTTTTTTTAACCGGAGGTCAGGTTATTAGAAAGCTAAATCTTTTAACGCTTCCTGTTATGTACGTATTAGAGGTACCTATGTATGTTTGTTAAAAAAAATATTGTCTTAATTGCTAGGAAACGTGAAGTATGTAGTTTTTTAACTAGATATCCAAACCTCTTAGCTGGCCCTTCCCATAACACTACTTGCTTTGATAGGAATTGTATACAGGGTGCAACAGAACGACCGACAAAGCCGAAAACCGCGAAGAGTCTAAATATGTACTTAATTGTACAGAAAGTATTTCTGCTCTAAGTGTAATAGTTTCCGAGTTATTCAATGATAAAGATTTGATTGAAAAGTCTGTGTTGTCAACTCTACACACAGCTGTTGGAGGCAACTGCGAGGTACACAGAACAAAATCTTTGTAATTTAATAGGTTGACCTCAGTCGTTGATCAGCACCCTATCAGTCGCTTTCTTTGATCAATCATTATGTGAATGATGATTAATTATGCGGGTATTTCATTATTTACATTTGCTGAAAAAAATGCACCTCTCATAGAATCTTCGGGAGACATGTTGTTTCTAAACTATGCGTTGTCATAAACTACCTACAACAACTTAAGAAAAGTAAAGTTTTCTAAATGACCCTGACAGGAGTTCAAATCATATTGTCTGCGTCATAAGAGAAGACTAACTTAAATAAACATAACTAAATTAAGTAAACACGTATTACAACATGCGTCAAGTACTCAAATTACAATAGTCTCGTAACCCTTAATGCGGCCCTAACGTAAAATAGTAAATTAAGTCAGCCAATCACGTCACTTATCACCGCTTAGAGATAAACACTTGATACCTGTTATCTGTTTTTGGTAGCATAATCGGGAGATCGTTTCTTTTTGTACTAGTATATTTTTCAATGCATTTGCAAATACTTTTAATATACACTACAAGAATTTACTAACTTTAAAACGAAGAGTTCATTTTAATGAGATCAACATTTAAAACAAAATTTTCTGTTAACTTGAGCTGAGTAGTTGAAATTTTAATAAACGTAATGTAAAAATAAATTAAATTAAAGAAAATTGCGAAACCTATTTCTTTGTCATAATTGTCTTTTTAAAATTAACATTTAGATATTTAATAATCAACGATATCCGACGCGTACGCCGCGCCGCCGCCGCGCGCATTTATATGCAGAGTTGCCAACTAAGCGACTTTGTCCCTTTTTGTGACATTTTGATACAAAAGCTTCTTTTTTGGCGCGTATTTAATTAGGTTTAATCGTTTAAAATTGAATATTATTTTTAACTTAGTATTCAGGAGTCTTTTGCCTGTACTGTGACCATAAACTTCTGGCCAATTAAATGGACCTTCTGTTTAGTGATGTTTGCTTTAGTCTAGTTGGCAACACTTTTTCATTCATAAATTAGTTCAAAATACCTTGTTGTTGTATGGTATCTCATCATATCTCGCGATCTCATGTTTTTCTCGTGTTTACAACAAAACAACGTTTACTTATTAATTTTTGGGTTGTGACAGCAACTTATTGGAATACTGCCGTTATTAAGTAGTGTTTATGTTAAGCAAGTAAAGTGTATTAGTGTGTTTGTGTGGAAAACCACATCCGCGTGTGACCGGCACACCCAGGAATGTGTCTGGAATGTCTGCAAGAGTAAAGGGGACGTGGACAAATCGAACATCCTTTTAACTTAAAGTAAATTCAATGTTATTATTACCTATTAAAGTGAGTACACTTTTATTTCTTCTGAGAGTGCCAATGACTCGAACGCCGCCTGTGGGGCAGAAGATGTACTAACCCACTCTCGATTCGCTTAGAGTTGTTGCAACGCGAAAGGTTTAAATCTGGACGAATATTTTTCAATTGCTCTGGTTTTATATTTAAAGTAAATAAAACTCATGTATGTAGGGTTCTTAACATGGTATTTTCGGCTTTGTCGGTCGTTTTGTTTGTATTTGTGCTGTCCATACTTCTTTGATATTGTTTATTTTATGATTTTATTGTCGTCATTTCATTGGCATTTTTCTTAGATGGAAAAAAATGTTTCTTAATTTTATTTGACATTGCTTATTTGACATATTACATAATTTTAATTTTATGACATTATTTAACGTCAATTTAATATAAATTTTATTCTCCCTCTGAGTCACCGAACAAAATTCTAACATACCGTCCATAACGTTTATGAAGCTAGAAAACGGACACTGGCAGAATTGAGGCATATAGTCTCACAAGCCATTCATTAAAAAAAAAATATATATAAATTTTGCGTGCCAGTACCTGGTGCAACACGTATTCATGACACTTTGTGTAATATCTTTTGTTACCGTGTTTGCTTGCGAATAAATATATTTAATTTCATTTCATTAAACTAGATGCACAACTATTTAAAGATGAAACAGCTTGCATTAAATGAGCAGAACAGTCTTTATATAACAGTGTATACATACAAAGAAAAAAGAACAAACTGAATATAACGATAAAATATAATAATCAGAATAAAAATATACATCCTAAATGTAAAGTGTAATATAATTTTTTGCAATTAATGCTAAGAATATTGCTAGTTTGCTTGCTAAAGATTCCCTTGCGGAGACCGGTTATCAAGTGATTAAACATTCTACGTCGAATTTAGGTTAGAGTATAGATTATATATTCAAATTCCCAGTATTATTTACATTTATATTCATATTATGTATATTTCATAGTGTTTATAAAAATATCAAGAAAAATGAGAAACAATATCATTACTTACCCGCTTTATAAAAATGATCTACTAAAGCGTCCGATATGTTTTGCAGTGTGCCTTTCGGAGCATTTACCTCGTGCACCTCGCCGTACAAAACGTCAATTTCTGAAGGATCATCGTTCATGTACGAGAGGCCTTTCAAACTTATCTTGTAGGGCATGTGATCTTTAAGCGCAGGTCTATAACAATATAAAATAAAAAAAATTAACAAGACATTCGTGCAGAAAACAAAAAAGTTATTACATTGGCATAATAGTACATATAAAATAAATGTAAGCAATGTAGACAAGACATTTAACACTCAGCATTGCTGATTTTCAGTCTTCATCTGTTAGCAGCTATTTGCTTACTTCATCAGAACAGAGCGTACGCTGGAACTGGTGTACCTCAACTATACCTCTACATTAAGTGATTATTGCTTAAAGGTTGTCAATGTAAAATCTTTATATTGCATATTTAATTTATTATTTAAAGCTGGTAGTGGCTGTTGCTCATCGAGTATATAACCAGAAATAGAGACGAAATGTCATTTAATTTGTTTGATTATATATATATATATGTGATTAATTTATTTGACTATTCTGCTAAATCATAATGGTGACAACTGCGCTCCGATTGGCCAGCCCGAATTCGAAACAATTAACAGGTGTCGTCAATTGTTTCACGTCAAATCGACCAGTTTAACTTGATATTTGCTATAATGGACGAAATGGATGAAATGTGATTCCGTTTGTTTTGTAGTTAGATATTTTGCTGTTTTTCCCACACCACGGAATAGAACAGCCCGTCATAGTTAGAGGTATTCTCTTTATTACATTAAATACAGAATATTCTTGGAATATATATTTTTTTTTTTTTTTTTCATTTATTATCTTATAAATTTTCATACAAAAAAACAATAGGTAATAACTTAGCATAGCAAATCCACTAAGGTTTAATATTATACTAAGAATTAAGTTTACGCCAATGATGATAAAAATAGTACATAAATCAAACAACAAACTTTACAGTAGTAAGTGCATAGTGCCAAACAAGATAAAATAATAAGAAGAATTGGACAAATACATATGGTACTGTTATTTATTTAATCGTATAAATATATGTGTTTTGAAGAGAACTAAGTAAATGTTCTTTAAGTTTATACTTAATATTTATAGCAGTCAATTTATCACGTAATTCGATAGGCAGTTTATTAATAAGTCGAGTAACAATATAATCAGTCGTTCTTTTTCCGTATTCATTGTTTACGCGAACCGGTTTGCTACTTAGTTCACGCCGAGCTGCCGATCGGGTATATACGGAGTGTACCGGTTGTGGCTGATTATTAGTTGAAAAGAACATTTTCTTCAATAAAATAAATTTTACCTGTGAATGGATGGGTAATACTTTACAGTGTTTAAAAAGCCCAGTATGATCGTCTCTAAATTGATTCCTAACCTTAACTGATACTATATTTTTTAGTATTCTTAATTGAATATCATAAATTTTATTTAAATAAGTTTTATATGTACGCCCGTAACTATCTAAACCGTACTGAATATAAGATTCAGCTAGCGAATTATAGAGCATTAGCTTTACTTTAAATGGAATCCTATTTTTCAATATTATTATATTTGCCAAAAACTGTCTTAACTTATTACACACATATATTATATGGAGACGTACACACAGGTCAGTTGTTGGCGCTGTACTATTTCACCTTTCTAATTTGTGATTTCAGCGCAAACGAGAGTTGATATTCAAAAGATGAGTCGAAAGTTGATGATATAAGGCCTATTTGCTGATGAGTTGCCAGAGATGAATAACCCTATTTCGTCTCTGTTTCTGGTTATATACTCGATGTTGTTGCTCAATGATAACACGTACGTGGTAACTCGGGTAACTTTAAAATGGTGTAATAAGAATCAAAAAGATACCTGGATTCTAATAATTAATGGTACATCATAGGAATTTATTATTGACCTGTATCCTAAAAACAATTTTTCTAATTTTATTTACTAATTCGACGAATATTATTTATTGATATGAAGTTAATATTGTAGTAATTTATAAGGGACGATAACGATATTATTCTAAATTTTACATACGCGATAATAGTGTCCATGGCTTCAGTAAAAAGTTTGGAGGCGATGGTTCTCTCTTCATTGTCCATAAGGCACATGACTCCAACCGTCACGTGCATTTTGATTGGCTTCACAAATAGAGACTCATCCAAGTCTCTACTGTCTGCGCATTCACGAAGTACACTTTCCTGGGAAAGATTTTATAGTATTGGCTGATTTATATAGAATAAATCCACCACCATTACCACTGGCATACCAACTGTATTGACGCCAGTTCATATCGGTTACTTTGGTCCAGCTAAGGCGGGTTTGCACTAGGTCGACAGGTTGCCTTCGCTTGCTCGTCAATGGTGGCAGCCTACGCAGTGTAAATATTGAAGCGTCTGGCAAACGTAGTTTACTACCGGATGGCGTGTTCAAAAAACAGTACAATTACCGCCTTCGGTAGATTACTTCGCCTTGCCGAGGCAAAGTCGATTGGCTGTTTACTCCGAATCGGCTGCCGCTTTTGCCAAAGTCATTATAAATACAATTAATTACACGCACAAAGACAACAAATCGTTTGAAACGTTCGATAAATGCTCACGTAATAGAAGTAATCTGCTGAAGGCGGCAAGTTCACCTGTGCAAATACACCATTAGCTGTGCTTTTATTTAAGAGGTGTCCGTTTATGTCGAACAAAAAATTCATTACAAAAACAACGTTAAAGAAATTATTTAGTTCATCCAATCCCTTGATGTATTTAGTGAAATAATAAAAACGCGTGTCTTTTTAACAATCGTAGTGAGTCGATGAGTTACTTAATTTCGACAAATACTATTTCGACTCGACAGTATTTCGACTACACATTAAATTCGACGAACACTACTTCGATAAAACACAAGTTCGACAGGTTGAAATATTTAATATAAATATTTCTAATATATTTATTTGCTTGACCATTTCATTCTTGAGCGGAATATCTCATGGACATAAATATGTCTGAGAAATAATTAATAACTTGTCAAGCAGTTATTTATCGATTTCATGTTCTGTCGGAATAGTGTCCTGTCGAATATATGTGTTGTCGAACTAGATTTCTGTCGGTGTAGTGACCTATCGAATGTTTGTGTTGTCGAAGCAGTGATCTGTCAAACAGTGACCTGTTTAACATGTATTTTGTCGAAGTAGTGTTCCTGATACTGTCGAGTCGAAATAGTGTTTGACGAAATTAAGTACGGACACTCGAATCGATTTACTCCTTAAAGTCAAATTGTCAAGTAGCAGATTTGACTATTTCCTTTTGACATGTCTATTTTGTGCCAATGTTTTAACTATACAGGTACCTTGAAACGTTGGTAATTCTCCATAATAGTAGAATTATGCATTGGAACAGATATGAAGTGTGTGAATTGCTGTTTCATCCTGGATGATATTACTATTACATTAATTCGCCTTCTTGCAGCTTTTACATTCTGAAAATTTCAAAATACATAACTTGATACAATGCTTCTTATAGATTTTGGCTTGCAAATAACGCAACGTATTGTCATGGTGTAAATTAAAAAAAATAAGTATGACAATTAACAAATAAGTATTCACGTTAAAGAAGACGACGCCAAAACTTTTTAGATGAGCATATAAGAAAATACAAGAGAATTTTTGGTTTTCATTTTTTCACCCTTGGTATAATAGCGCTACATGTAATCATACGTCAAGTGCTTTTATCACATAAATGTCATAAAAATAATACTAACTACACGAAATACATTATAAGAATAACTACAGATTTATAATAAAAACAATCCTTACAGCTTCAGAAGGTCCAAATATAACAACGTCGCCACTTTGACCCTGTCTTGGTATTTTTATTTCAGTTTTTGTATCTCTCTCAATTCTGTTCTTAATTGCTCCCTTTCGACCGATTATAGAGCCAACATAGTGTCTATCAAAATATAAGATTGAAATTGTTAATAGGAGAAGTGATAAAACATTAAAATAACTAGGAACGGAATTCGAGATCAAGAATGTAAACAGATGTGTTGCCATTTAATAAAATAATTTAGAAACTTTATAACATGGAATAAAAATAATATGGAATAAATGATTTTTTCAAACTTGCTTTGATAAACTCACACATGCTTAATATGAACTTGAGTTTCGTTTTTCAATATCTCAATTAGCACCAGAGAGAGACATTAACGATTAAAGTCAGTGGCGTGGCGGGGGAATGCTCCATCCCTTTTATGCAAGGTTATAATTATAATTCGTATGGCGCCGCTATAAATATAATTACAGTAGTAAATTCGCCAACAAGTATTGCTGTTTTTCTTCTTATTTCTAAATTCTGGACGACTGAAAATATTTTATTTTTCAATGAGTTTTCATTTTGTTGTCTCATTTGAACATCATTTTGTCTATTTTTTAATTAATAGGTACTATTCAAATTTGAAAAAGTGAATATAATAAACCATTGTAAAAAGTATAAAAAAATTAAACTTACTTAGAAACATGTAAACTAGTAGAATATCTATTCTCGTCTATCATTTCCACTTTAAAGTCTTCATCTTCAAAATGTTCATCTTCAATGTTTTTAAATGTTACTTCTGAAAATAAATAAACAAGTCGCTCATTTGGTGCTACACTGACGTAATTCTAGTTTTTTGTAATATCTAGTTAAGTAACTTTAATACCATGCGCAAAATAATAACAGTCCATCACACCATATAAAGTATATCAAAACATTTGTTTGATGAAAAATCGCTAAAAATGTATTTATTTTTTTAATACATATAATGTACAATGTACAAGAACACGATTTACTGACATGTGATGAAATTGAAATAAAATAATTTCACAGCTATCTCCTATAATATCGCAAGAAGTATAATTAAGTCAGTGGAGACGGGAATCAGCAAAGTATTATATTTTAATTCTGTATTAATATGTACTATTATCATATATGTACAGTCAACAGCACATCACTATTGCTTGAATATCGACTCCAGTGCAACGGAACAAGATCTGTCAATGTGTAGCTTCATGTGTCGTCACCCGCATTGGACCAGTGTTGCAGTCTATGGCCTAAACCCTCTTCTTAGAAGAGTCAGGTGCCCAGCAGTGGAACATGTAATAGGTAGATGATGAAAAGAAGAATTTCTCAGCAAGTTGAAGATTTTCTCAAATAGGAATTATTAAATTTAAATTATATGAAGTTAAATACATAGGGCGCACTATAAGTTTCCGGAACTGGCGACTTACATAAACAATATTGAAAAAGTAATTACAACATTTGAAAATGGAACTCTTTGGCTGTAGAATACAGTTTGCTTCATCTGACTGTCACTTGTTTTTACATAGTGGTGTCATTTTAGAAATTGGTTTTCTACGTCATCATGGATTTAACTCGTGAACATTTTCGTGGTATGATTTTCTACGACTTTAAGTGTATTTCAACAGCGCAGCGGAGCTTGGCTCGGCTTCAAACTGCTTTTGGCGATGAAGCACCATGCAAGACGACTATTTATAGCTGGTTTGCAGAATTCAAACGCGGTCGTGTGAATCTCAGTGACAAATTTCGTCGCCCGTCCACTGGCAGACAGGTATGTGACATACCATGAGATTCGGGCTTCTTTATATATCAATATACTAGACCAAACATTTGGGTGTGAAAAAGCTGTGCTCTCGGTGGATACCACACAATTTGACTGAGGCTCAAAAAAGGGGTCGCGTCACTTGGTGCAATGCCATGCTTACCAGATTCAACGAAGGGGCGTCAAATTTGGTGTGGGACATAGTAACAGGGGCCTTACCATGAACTCTTATTACAGTTCAGTATATGTTCGTAACGACAAGGAAGCGGGATGGTAATATACACTTCATGTAGCGCTGTCTCATTTTAGGTCATAAACTGAATCGTAATAAGAGTTCATGGTATGGCCCCAGGGGACGAAACATGGATTTATAGTTACGATGCCAAAACAAAGCAGCAATCGAGCGTATGGGTCTTTCAAGATGAGCCGAAGCCAAAGTGGCGCGCGTGCAAAGTGCCCCTAAGCGGATGATTCTTTTTTTAATAAAACTGAACAGTGATTGGTACACGACCATTTGTTTGCCGGAAGTTATTGACAAACTCCGTAAAAATAACCGTAAACGCCGTATCATCTTGCACCACGATAATGCCAGTTCTCACACGGCCAGACAGACAAGTGAATTTTTGAAGTTGAATGACGTTGACCTTATGAGCCATCCCGCGTACAGTTCCGACCTGGCACCTTGTGACTTTTATTTGTTTCCAAAAATTAAGAACCAGTTACGCGGTCAACGATTTTCATCACCTGAAAAGGCTGTCGAAGAGTATGAAAAATATGTTTCAGAGATTGTCACGGAGGAGTGGCATAAATGTTTTCAAATTGGTTCATTCGTATGAATAAAAAATATTTTGAGAAACAACAAATTCATTTCTGACCATTTATAGTATTTTTTTTTTATTCATTCCGCCTCACGTATATGTCAAACCTTAGAATAATAACGCATAGAAACCTAGTCCGCACGCGCTAAGTGAGGCAAATTGAAGCGTTCCCAATGGGCCTACACGAGCGGGCGGGCCGTCAGTGCTCAAGGTCAACTTGCACCGCGAACAGCTCCAGAATTTTAGCTAAAAATGATGAAATGTGCGGTAAATGAGTGTAAAAATACGTCAGACAAACATAATATAGATACTAACATCACATTTCACAAGGAAGTAACGCGTTTCAACTTGTATTTTTATATAAATATTCACTAAAACCGAAAATTAACCTACTACTAAAACTAGCCTGCATGAATTTGATTTTTGCCTCCCTTGTGACAGTTCGTTTGATATGAAACTATCATTCTATGCGTTATTATTCTAAGTGTCAAACATTGACGTGAATAGATTTTTTGTTTGGTTTCCGCTTATAGGACGGAAAAGGGTCGTTTTCAAATTCGGGGTCAAAAGAAATATTGATTTTATTCTTGTAATGTTGATGTTACCGTAAATCAAAATACTGTAAATCAGTTGTCTTGATGACACGCGCGTTGTCCCATTACCAAATCTTCAGGAATACTGTAAAATTAGGAGTTATGCCCATTGACTTACAAATAAATGGACGACGGGTCTAATACAAAAACCACGAAAAAAATGTCCCAAGTCAACTTATTCGAAATTTAAATTGTAATGTCATCGCAGTATCGCGCTGTCAGTCGAACAAATGAAGACTAAAGCGGAGTTTGGCGCTCTGTATACGATTTTAGCGCCTTACAAGTGCGGACACTTTTTAGCGCGGACCCGACGTCCATATAATTGTAAGTCAATGGTTATGCCTATAAAACTAGCCCAAATCGCATGCGTGTCGCTGGTTCCAAATTCAAATTCTATGTTGTTTACTTTTTATTTCGATAATGCGTAATGGAAATTGGAATGTTATACATTTAATCATTGACTTACAAATAAATGGACGACGGATCTAATACAAAAACCACGAAAAAAATGTCCCAAGTCAACCTATTCGA